ATACTTGTTTAAAGAACGCATTCCAAGATATCGATGCATGAGCCCAGGCCTAGTAGCACTGCTGCTTATTAGGTAACACAGATAATAGAATAAAAAGTGCTCTTTGTCTCTGATCCCGGATTTAGGTCTTGAAAGTCTATTTGTCTTAATAATGACTCGTTGAAATGCAAACACGTATCGTAACATCGTCTTAGTATAGTGCTACTGGAGGCGGCTATGGTGGGACTAGTGGTGACGATGACAGTGCACGTATTTGAGGGGGGAAGGGACTAAGACATCTTAATATCTTCTACATAGTTCAAATAAAATCTTCATGCCCTATTTTAGAATTTATGGATTTTTTTAATTTATACAGGATCATCCCTGAAATTCAACTATTGAATTAAAAAGAACCATCAAAATCAGTTTACAATTTATGAAGAGGTCGCATAACATGAGAAGGTTTTCAATTGGAATGTGTGTTATTTGTACATATGAAAAACACACACATTCGAATTGAAAATCTTCTCCTTCTTTTAAAGTCGGTTAAAGATCAGTCTAGTTTTAGACCGAAACCACCGCAAACTAACTTAAATCATTTTCTGAATAAATTGCTCAAAAGTCTTAAGCCATTACCCACGCGCGACATTGAACCATACAAAATATATAATCATATCATCTGCAGCCATCAACCATACTGCAGCTTTATTAGTAGTATAGTGTAGCACGAATGGGTCGGTTCAATCAAGGATGAACAAATACCAGCGTAAAAAAGCAGCTGAATGCTGCTGTGTTTCGTATGGTAAGTGTAAAACGGAGACCCTTTTTTACTGTAAAGGAATCATTCCATCTTAGTCCTTACGGGTGACAACGCATCTGCATTTTGATTCGTAATCGAGGATAGACGTAGATAGCTACAGGCCACAGCAACCACATATCATCAGGTGGATTGTATGCTAGCATTTCAACTTTAATCTATAAAAAATCACACTTGAAAGTATAAGTGTCAATGGGTATAAGTTTAGTAATCGACAGTGCAGAGAATGAAATAGTTTGAGTTTTATAAAAATAATTTTATAAAACTCAAACATATTATTATACTGTTTGAGTTTTATAAAATGTATTGTTTCATTGAGTACATTTTCAGGTACTTTGAATCTGAGTAGACTCTGAATAAATTATTGACTCTATGGAGTTGAGTAAATGGTATCACTAGATTGTGTTTGGTCCTAAACATAATGTCTTAACTCCTTTTTTGCACATACAAATAATCTATGATTATATTATTTCCAACACTAGAGGTAGACGTTATTATATTAGAAAACTACCAAATTTCAATCTTGAGCGGACAATAAAGTTAGACAACATAGACGATAATGTCAGTCTTCGACGCTAATGCTTTTACAGACTATTACAATAGCTTTGGAAATGTAGTTCTTTCATCTAATACAAACTTTGTTGGATTATAGATAAAATTTTCCGCAAAATTTATCCATTGCTTTATTAAATCTAATGCCACCGTTAACAAATTATCTATTCAATATTAAAATAAATAAAGGACACCGTTGGGTTTTATAATTTATTTTTAATTCATAATATAAAGTATAACACAACTTATGTTAGTTCATATCTCACACTTCTTGGCACAAGCCACCTCATATATCTGAGAAAGGTAAGAGGGGTGTATGTAATATAAGGTGTGCCAGTAACAAACATGTTACTTGTGCTATGTTTTCATGGTTTATTTTAATTGAAAAATTTAGAAAATAATTTTAAAAAATGTATATAACATTGTTGCCAAGTTTGTTAAACAAAATATTTATATAAAAATAAGAAAGGACTATTTCTTTTAATTTAGTAGTAATAATTTTAGGGTTCATTAGTTTTAATTACAGAAACATCTTCATTTGAATTTATCTAATCTTAATTTTTAATATTCTGCGCAAAGTCAGCTTGTTATGTCTAAATCAGCCCAAAATAATATTAATTTTCCAAAAAAAGAAATTATTAAAAAGGAACTTTTGTTACGTGGTGGACCCACGTTGCAGATTTATATATGGCTGCAGCACGAGTAAGTCAGCTCGAACGGGGAAGTACCACACTCTCACAGAATACCAGCGTAAAATAGCAGCTCAACTTCCGTTATCTCCTCCTCTTCATTCTTTATTACTTAAGGAAATGGAAGGTTACCAAATTAAAGTAATCAGTAATATTATATACATAAAGTAACGCAGATATTACTTAATTATTCCTTTTGTACGCAGTAGAGCCATGTTGCAGCTTTATTAAGGTTGTAGTACGAATGGGTCGGCTCGACCGGAGTAGGACCACGCTCTCACAGAATACCAGCGTAAAATAGCAGCTTAATGCGTAATGTGTTTCGTATGGTGAGTGTAGCGAACCGGATACCCTTTTTACTGGAAACGAGGCATTTTATTTTAGTCTTCAGAGGTGACGACGTATCTGCATTTTGATTTTTAACCGAGAATAGATTTATATGTCCATGGGCCTCAGCATCCACTAACCATCGGGTGGACTGTGTATTCGCTTGTCACAGTGGCTTAGCGTTTGCCTGCAGCACTGCTAGATTGCGAGGTAGAATTCCGCAAGAAACAAGTTTTCTTTATTTGGGTAATTATTCAATACTAAATATAAAATTATTGCCGCATAGTGGTAGTTTAAGAATTTCACTTCCCCATATCGTTACGTGGCAACAGGAGATGATAGGCAACAGATGATAACTGGAATAATACAAAAATTGTTAAAAGAATTGTATTGTAAAAAAGGTAATAATACTGTATTATCTTAATTACTCGATTCTTTAATTTCATAATTTATCCTGTCAGATACCAAGATATGTTAAAGAATAAATGTATCCCGAGCAATAATTCATCAAGTTTCTCATCGTATCTAATGTAATTATTATTTTATTTCATTCAAATTTACTCATTCTTAACTTTGAATTAAAACTGTTTCATTGTCGCTTTTTCGTGTTCAAAAATATTGTAGTTATGCGCTTTTATCCGAGTAATAAAATAATTATCTCAATGTGTCATTAGGACATTACATGCAAATTATTTTTTATAGAAGAGGGGGCAAACGAGCTTGCAGCTAACCTGATGGTAAGTGACTACCGCCGCCCATGAACAACTGCAATATCAGGGGAATTGCAGGTGCGAAGCCGGCATATTAAAAAGGAGTTCTTTTTTTTAAGGTCCCTAAGTCGCGTTGGTCCGGAAAAGTCACCGGTGGTAAACAATTCCACAGAGAATTTGTACGAGGAAGCAACCTCCTAGTAAAACGCACAGTGAACCATTCAGCATGCAGATGGTGAGGATGGTATCTTGAATTTTGACGGGATGTGCGCTTATGAAATGTGGCGACTGGGATTAATCCGAACAATTCCCCAGATCACTCCCCGTGGTAGATACGATGGAAAATGCAAAGGGATGCAACATCTCTACGGAGCGCCAGTGAATCGAGCCGATCAGAAAGAACTTGACCGTCGACGATTCAAAGCGTTCTGTGCTAGATACGGTCAAGTGAAAGGAGACTGGGGTGCCCCGGCCCGGAAATGAGATCAGTACTCCACGTGAGGCCGAACGTGCGATTTTTAAAGTTGCAAGCGATATCCCGGCACGAAATACTGTCTTGCTCTGCTGATTATATATATTTTTTTATTTTAATTTAAAAAAAAGATAATATTAGTATAAAATATATATCATATTGTAAAACAGTTTATATAATTCTGAAAAAAAGAAGAAAAAATTACGTAGTAACACCATACGATACAGGTGAAAATTTCTGTGAATATGGAAGATTATGAAAGATACCGTTTTATTTTACAGTATGAGGGTGAGAAATTAACCTAAAGTCTACATGATGGTGGATAAGTCTATAAGCATCTACATCTGCCTTCGATTAAAAATCAAACTGCAATTACATAAATAAATCTCCTGTAAAAATAGCGTGTACGTAATATATAGTTAGCAACTTAATATTTGGTGCAGCTGATCGATCAATTTCATTTTGTTGCTTGCTCTTTATGACTTCCTTTTTATCTAACCTTTTTTAGATAAAATGTAAAATTTGCATGTACACATATAATTAGCAACTTATTACTTGATCTACTATACTATTTTGTCACTGGCCCTTTTGACTTGGTGGTTTTATTTACGACCAGTAACAAATTACACTGTCGTTTTGCTCAAGTCTCTTGACAATCCTTTAATTCCCATAAAAAACCCTATGCAGTCACATGCACCCGGCAATTCCCGAGCAGTCGCATGCAACCGCATCGGGCCGCAGTCCTTAAAACCATTAAAACTTATATTTAGACACTAATTTTCTATGAAGAAGTTTGGCATTATAAAATATATACAAAATTTTCTATATAAAAATCGGGTTTTACTTCATTACAAAAAGACTATTGTATTTTGATAACATGAAAAAAAAAACATAACAAACGAATGTCGGCAGCGTGAAAAATACAAATTATTTCAATATATATTACTCGAAATAATTTACGTAAAACGATAAATTATTTTCACACAAAAACGTTCATTACAATTTTATAGTAAAACATTTTACTAAAACACTAGAAAAATCCAAAAATCAACTCAATAACATTTGCGCGAAAATGGCGTACGAAATGAACGTAGATTATTAATAAATTTTCATTGGATAACAGTTTTTTTATTGCAATAGAGGATAGAGTATTTCATATTGATTATATAATTCCAAACTTCTTCATAGAAAAGTAGTCTCTATATATTAATAATAATATTAATAATAATAGTAGTAATAAGACGTAGGGAAGTGACGACCCCATCGCCCGCTGACGTAACAGTTATGTGACAAAACTGCGACGTCGGCGCAGTCAGTCAGCATCCTGCCAAGAGGTGTGAGCGCCGTGCCTAGGCAAAATTGTTGATGCAGAGGTCCGTTTGTGCATATGACCCAACCACGATACGGTGCCGGGTTTGGGCGTCTCCCGTTATTTGGCGCCCATAAAATGGATGATGGAAGAAACACTGAAAGGAACGCGCATAGGTCCGCTGCCTGGGGGTCGCCGGGGCACGTCTGGAGCTGGCGCTGGACGCGGCAGCATGCGGGCCGCCAGCCGAGCGGGAGGAGCTGCACGATCACCTATCAGCCCCTCGCATCCATCATCCCCACCAGAAGGCTTGGTGTCGGCTGGGTCTTCTCGAACTCATAAAGCGGAACCCGCCGCTGGTGGAGCACGTCGCATGCGTTGGTCACAAACAATGAACGCAAACACACTGCGGGCGTACTTTAGGGCAAAAGGGGAAGAAACCGGATGTTTGGCTTATCGGGTTCGGATGCATCGCTTTTTTTGCAGAGCTGGAGCCATCTCTATCCGTCACTGAGCAAAACCTGGCAGACCGAGTTCGCTGCATCCTGCGCTCCAACATATTTGGTGACGCCGAACTCGAACGACTACGACGTGAGGCTGTTCCCTCATCGGATGGAAATGCTACGGCTGGGAATGCGGCGCCACTAATTGCGCAGCAAACTGCAAACGTGGACGCTGCCGTCAATATTCCATTTGTGGTTGATTCAGACGATGATGGAATAGTCCCCCGCGAACTAGAGAAAATGAGGAGCATATTGGAAGAGTCGACGCTGGAAACGCGCAGCATGCCTCTCGAAAATCGACCGCGACTTCCCCGCATACCCCTTAGCAAGCAAAATCGGGCTGTCGTGCGGGCTTTTAACCAAATACTGGTGACCTATTTGGAAGCCAGCCGGGACCTTTGCAAGACGGACTCAATTATTTTTGGCGCCGCACTGGCAGTATGCCGTATTATTGACGCCAAACTTCCCATGGCTGGACGTGCTACTCAACAAGGTAGTGCCATCCCAGCCTGGAGAAAAAGAATCGCGGACCGTATCACAAAGGCAAGGGCCCTTATCGGCAGACTGACAAGCTTCAGGTCGGGTAATAAGAGACCGTGAGTTGTGCGCACCGTTAGAATGGCGTTTGCTGGGACAAATATTAGTTTGTCCAAGCCGGATATCACGCAGAAACTGACGGAGCACATAGATGACCTGAAGCAAAAAATCGCTGCCTGGGGGAAGCGGATTCGTCGATTTAGCGAGAGTTCAAGGCGGTTCAACCAGAATCGTCTCTTCCAGAGTGATCAGAAGAGGCTCTATAAATCATTGGAGCGACCAGAGGTATGTGGAGCGGGCCAAGGACCGGATCAGGCTGACACTGTCGCATTTTGGCGTGGCCTGTGGTCAGAGCCCGTAAACCACAGCGAGGGCCCTTGGATGGAAGTTGTGGCGAGCCAGAGTGCAAGTGTTACGCTTATGGACCCCGTCACCATAACGCCTGAAGACGTGGCTGAGGCGGTCCGTAGGGCCCCGAACTAGAAAATCCCGGGGCTCGACGGGCTGCATCATCACTGGCTGAAGGGGTTCGTAGTGTGTCACGCTGTGCTCGCCCGACAGTACCAAGAGGCTCTCGATCAGAAGTCGCTCCAAAGCCTCTTCACTACTGGGATCACTCACTTGGTTCCTAAATATCAGGATACCACATACCCGAGCAAATACCGCCCCATCACGTAATATCTACCCACTATATATAAGACACTGACATCCATTTTGAGCGTGAGAATCACTCGTCACCTGGAGCTAAATCAGGTGATGTCACGCGCTCAAAATGGATGTCGGGGCGGTGGTCGTGGAACCAAAGAACTACTCCTCATTGATACGGTCATTGGCAAAGTGGTGAAACGCAACCACCGGAACTTCTCCGCCGCCTGGATACACTACATACCTTCGACTCGGTGCCCCATACATGGCTAAAGAGGGTCCTCGAGCTGTAAAAGATTGACTGAACAGTTAGAGACTTCCTCGAGCAGTGTATGGGGCAGTGGAGTACGATCCTCTATTATCTGGGCGAGCAGATGATGGCTGCGGAGAACGACATAAGGATAAGAAGGGGTATCTTCCAGGACGATTGTCTGAGTCCAATCTGGTTCTGCCTCTCTCTGAACCCTCTCAGTACCTTACTGGAGGGCTCCGGGAGAGGATTTCAACTACGGAAGGGAGGAACAAAAGTGACCCACCTTTTCTATATGGATGACCTCAAGATATTCGCCTCCAGTCGCTCCCATCTTGTGGAACTGCTAAACATCACTTGTGAATTTAGCAGTTCTATTGGAATGTAACTGGGGACTGATAAGTGTGCGGTCCTTCATGTTGAAAGGGGAAGGGTTGCTAACTCCGTCAACTTAAAGACCCTTTCCGAGGCTGAAACATACCGATACCTGGGTATGTCACAGAACATCGGTATCGATGAGGCTGGTATGAAACAGTCAGTTTGCGACGCGTTTTATGCACGCTTTACCAAAGTGCTTAACAGCCTTTTGTCCGGTGTGAATAAGACACACGCATCTAACGGTTGGGTCATGCCTGTCCTCATATATACCTTTGGCATACTCAGATGGACTCAGACCGAACTTAACGCCCTGGATGGAAAAGTCCGTACTACCATGACGTCCCATAGGATGCATCATCCGAGATCGTCGGTAATGAGGCTGTACTTGTCGCGTAAGCATGGTGGGCGTGGTTTTCTGAGCGCGCTCACCATGCATAATCGCGAAGTGTGCAGCCTCCGTGACTACTTTTTGGCGAGATCGGATGATCCATTCTATAATGACGTCATTTCTAGTGATAAAGGGCTTAGCCCTCTATCCTTAGCCCTCGAGCAATGACAGGACCCAGCAGTGCTTAGCATTTCCGACCGGGAGACCGTATGGAAGAAGAAGGAGCTCCACGGGAGGTACTACAGGGCTCTTTATGAGCCCTTCGTAGATACAGTCGCCTCCCTCAACTGGCAACGTTTCGGTGACCTCTTCGGGGAAACCAAGGGTTTTGTCTGTGCAATACAGGATCAGGTTATTAAGACCAACAACTATCGGAGATACATCCTAAAGGATGGCACCGTCGACGTCTGTCGAGCTTGTCGCCATCCCGGTGAGTCGCTTAGGCATGTCATCTCCGGTTGTTCGGCGCTTTCTAACTCTGAGTACTTGCACAGGCACAACCTAGTAGCCAGAATTCTACACCAGGAGCTCGCTCTGAAATACGGTCTCGTGGACCGGAAATTGCCGTTTTACAAGTACTTGCCGGAAGCCATGCTCGAAAATGACCGCGCCAGGCTCTACTGGGCCATCACCACAGACAGGACTATTCTTGCGAATAAGCCTGATATTGTGCTCAAGGACCAGGCACAGTCAAGGAAATTTTTGGTCTATATTACCATCCCGTATGACGAGAACCTCGTGAAAGCCGAAACAGATAAGCAATCAAAATATCTGGACCTGGCTCACGAGGTAACCGAAATGTGGGGTGGTCTGCCGACCGAAATTATTCCTGTAGTCGTATCTGCGAATGGGCTTCCCAGTTAGCCTCTCTGGTCATCTGAGGCGACTGGGACTCCGTGACGGACCGCTCCGGGCTCATACAGAAAGGATCATACAGAAGGCGGTGCTCCTTGATACTGCCCGCATCGGTTTCTTTCCCTTACCCCCTAACCCTCGGCCGTTTGGTCTCCCCTGCCGAGGGCTTCCATCTGGTTGGGCTTTTATGTATTTATGTATTTTTGTATTTATTTTATTTTATTGATATTTATGTATATATTTATCTTTTCATTTTCATTTATAATTATATATTTATAGATCCCAACCAGATGAGAAAACTATATAGATGCCCCCCAATATTAATAATAATAATATTTATTGCATCTTTAAGATAAAGTACACTCGATAACAACAGTATAACAAAATTGCAATAATTTTAACTGATAAAGATAACAGTTTACCATCAAGTTTAAAATTATATATATTTTACAAATATGAAATACACAAGTAAAAATACACACACACACAACGCGCGTGTGTGTGTGTGTGTGTGTGTGTGTGTGTGTGTGTGTGTGTGTGTGAGTTGAGTGGTTATGAAATAATGATTTCGACATACATTATAATAATTTGTGTATGTTTATTGTATGTGTGGTGCCTATTTTTTGACGAGATTTTCCGTATCTTCATATGTTAGAGATTTTAACCAAATTAATATTTTAGATTTTAATTCATGTTTGTCGATTTTGTATATATTTAACGACTTATTAATCTTATTGTTTAAACGACAACTGATTGAATTATACTGACGTCCTGCGAAAGCTGTTCTACATAGAGGTACTGGACACACAGGGAATGTTTTCATAGCATTGTGCGAAGAACAAACAATTGCCTCACTGTTAGAACATTACACTTTTTGTAGAGGTCAACAGTAGGGTGCATCCTATGTTTGTTACATACATCTATAGAATTCTAGCATTTCTATGAATAATCCATATAACAAATAATATTATATTGTGTGAACACGTCAACTGGTCGTGTAGAAACGGTCCGAAAACAAATCATTTTTTCATGATGATTTCTTATATTTACGCGAACACTACACATTGAAATAATACTAGTTTTTTACGGAATTTATCGCGTATATTTTAACTTTTTAAATACCCGACGTTTCGAACGCTTTACAGCACTCATGGTCACGTGCAGGACTGAGATGTTCAACGTCCATATGTCATAGTTAACCGCGGTTACCATAGATTAAAATTTAACTTTTGTTCCGATCTATGCAGTATGAACTTATGGTATCTTGAAGTCTTGCAGTTGTATGCTTGGATTGGGATTTAATTTTATTTATTATAGGATCCCAAGCAGATGGTAGCACCCAGGTATCAATAGAGAAGATGGCTGGGTGCTACCATCTGCTTGGGATCCTATAATAAATAAATATTAAATCCCAACCCAAGCATACAACTGCAAGACTTCAAGATACCATGAGTTCATACTGCATAGATCGGAACAAAAGTTAAATTTTAATCTATGGTAACCGCGGTTAACTATGACATATGGACGTTGAACATCTAGTCCTGCCCGTGACCATGAGTACTGTAAAGCGTTCGAAACGTCGGGTATATAAAAAGTTAAAATATACGCGATAAATTCCGTAAAAACTAGTATTATTTCAACATTTTTTCATGGATAAGAAGTATCCTATTCGTAATAATCCATTGTATCATGAAAATATAAAATTATATTGAACTACTCTTCAGATTTATCCTATAGGAACCGTGAACATCATCCGTGAAGATTAAGCAACTGCTGATTTAAATTTGTCAATAGGAACTTATACTTAATCACCGACCTGCCCCCGGTTCAATCTATTAATGCGTGATCATTTAACTTTAAGATAATAAACAAAGACCATTTATTTTTAACAAAGTATTCCATCTTATTGTTCAGGATTGACACGCGTGTGCATTTTGATTATTGATGGAGAATAAATGAAGATGTCTATAGGCCACAACAACCACTTACTATCATGTGAATGGTGTGCAAATTTGTGATCTTTCTCCATTTAAAAAAAGTAGGCAAACATAAAGCAAAATTAAAAGTATATATAAATAGATAATATAATTTAATAGATAATTCATGGCATTCAAATAACGTAAAAGTAAAGTAAAGTTACAGCCTACATACGTTTCACTGCTGGCCACAGGCCTCCCCTCATTTCTGAGAGGGTTTTTTGGGAGGGTTTTCACATGTCTTCGAAATATTTTTTTTCTTATTCCTCAGACATGCAGGTTTCCTCACGATGTTTTTTCCTTCACCGCCGAGCATGTGGTAAATCAGCACTTAAAATTGCAATTAACAACTTCATTGGTGCCGGCGAGGATCGAACCCGGGTTACACGCGTTCTGTTATATTTACAGCGAGCGTTAACCATCTGAGCTACCACGGCTCTAATCAAATCAAATAACGTACTGAGCTATAAAACAGGCAGTTACTCGTATTTCGATGTTACAGGCAGATACTTCAATTTTATTCATGTGAATAAATGTATAGATTATAACATATTATTTGGTGAAATATTCA